CGAAGATTGGCGCAAGAAACAAGGCGGTACAAGCGTAGAGCCCAATGTTAAACCTACCAAGAGGCACCGTAAATTTTAATAGGGCTACAAGCTGATGCACAAGTAAAGGAAAATAATTAATCTTTATGAATTAATGTAAGTTTAAGACCACAATCCAGTGAAATCATTTATTTTTTTTATGTTTTTGTTATATTAAGAGTTTGTTCTTTTGTTATCATTCATAACAACCATGTAACACACAAAAGAAAAGAAAATTGCCAACAATAAAATGTAAAATTTGAAACATGGCGCGCAGCCTAGCGCTGTAAAATTTAAAAAGTAATCTTATTTCGGCAGCCCTGGCTATTGTTATCGACTGTTATCGATTAATTGACTTCAAGGCAACCCCGAAAACGCCACTTTTTCCCGCTGTCGCTCACACATACAGACGCAGCAACGCGCAAAACGCTCTCGCTTCTCCAAAATAATTTGGAAAACTCAATAATTAAACAATTTTATCGTAAAAACCCAAACAAACGGCATTATCAAAATGTCGAAAACAGATGCCGCCGCAATGGAAACCAACGAGGAAAACTCGGTAAGAGCTATTGACTTCAGCAAAAGCAGCGTTCGCAAAATTTTCGCCAAACGCAGACGCCGCATGCCGCTTCGATAAAAATTTTACAGATGTTTGTTAATAATTTGCTCATGCAGAACGAGACTACCTCGGAGGCGACCAGCTCCTCTGGCGAAAAGGAGGCCGAGTTTGACAATAAAATCGAAGTAGATCGCAGCAGACGCTTCGATTATTTGTTAAAGCAAACGGAGATTTTCACGCATTTTATGACAAATAGCACAAAGAGCCCGACCAAACCCAAGGGGCGCCCCAAGAAGAACAAGGACAAAGACAAGGATAAGGATGTGGCAGAGTTAGTGATTCATGAAATGCTCGTTAAGCTACATAACTAAAGTGATCTTTTCATTCTCAGCCATCGACATCGCAAGACAGAACAGGAAGAGGATGAGGAGCTACTTGCTGAGGACTCGACTAGTAAGGAACTATTTCGCTTTGATGCTTCGCCAGCCTATATTAAAGGAGGCGAAATGCGTGACTATCAAGTGCGTGGTCTCAATTGGATGATATCGCTCTATGAGAACGGCATTAATGGCATCCTGGCTGATGAAATGGGTTTGGGTAAAACACTGCAGACTATCTCTTTGCTGGGCTATCTAAAGCATTTCAAGTGAGTAGCAGTTACCTATGCACACCTTTATCACCTTAATAGACTTGTTAACATATATATATCTCTTCCCTAAACAGGAATCAAGCTGGGCCGCACATTGTAATCGTCCCCAAGTCAACTCTTCAAAATTGGGTCAACGAGTTTAAGAAGTGGTGTCCGTCGTTGCGCGCTGTTTGTCTCATTGGCGATCAGGACACTCGCAACACCTTCATTCGTGATGTACTGTTACCTGGAGAATGGGATGTTTGTGTCACCTCCTACGAGATGTGTATTCGCGAAAAGTCGGTGTTTAAGAAGTTCAACTGGCGCTACATGGTCATCGATGAGGCGCATCGCATTAAGAACGAAAAGTCAAAGCTCTCGGAGATCTTGCGCGAGTTCAAGACCGCAAATCGTCTGCTCATTACCGGCACGCCCCTACAGAATAATTTGCATGAGTTGTGGGCGCTGCTCAATTTTCTGCTTCCCGATGTATTCAATTCTTCGGAGGACTTTGACGAGTGGTTCAACACGAACACTTGCCTGGGCGATGATGCTCTTGTTACGCGTCTACATGCTGTACTGAAGCCATTCCTGCTGCGTCGTCTAAAGGCAGAGGTGGAGAAACGATTAAAGCCCAAAAAAGAGATGAAAATCTTTGTTGGTCTATCGAAAATGCAGCGTGACTGGTATACCAAGGTGCTCCTCAAGGACATCGACATTGTCAACGGCGCTGGCAAAGTCGAGAAAATGCGTCTTCAGAACATTTTGATGCAGCTCCGTAAGTGTACCAATCATCCATATTTGTTTGATGGCGCTGAGCCTGGACCTCCATACACAACGGACACTCATCTCGTCTATAACTCGGGCAAAATGGCTATTCTGGACAAGCTCCTACCCAAGCTACAGGAACAGGGCTCTCGAGTGCTAATCTTCTCACAAATGACTCGCATGTTGGATATTCTGGAAGATTATTGCCATTGGCGTAACTACAACTATTGCCGCTTGGATGGCCAGACACCGCATGAGGATCGTAACCGTCAGATCCAAGAATACAATATGGAGAACAGCACCAAATTTATATTCATGTTGTCCACTCGAGCCGGCGGCTTGGGCATCAATTTGGCCACTGCCGATGTGGTCATTATATATGACTCGGATTGGAACCCACAGATGGATCTACAAGCCATGGATCGAGCTCATCGTATCGGTCAAAAGAAACAAGTGCGCGTGTTTCGTCTAATTACCGAAAGCACCGTCGAGGAAAAGATTGTGGAACGTGCCGAGGTGAAGCTGCGACTGGACAAAATGGTTATTCAGGGCGGCCGACTCGTCGACAATCGTGCCCAGCTGAATAAAGACGAGATGCTGAACATTATACGCTTTGGTGCCAATCAGGTATTTAGCTCCAAGGAGACTGACATCACCGACGAGGACATCGACGTCATTTTGGAGCGCGGCGAGGCAAAGACGGCAGAGCAGAAAGCTCATTTGGACAGCTTGGGAGAGAGCTCGTTGCGCACTTTTACCATGGACACAAACGGCGAAGCGGGCACCTCATCTGTTTATCAATTTGAGGGTGAGGATTGGCGCGAAAAGCAAAAGCTAAATGCTTTGGGCAACTGGATTGAGCCACCGAAGCGTGAGCGTAAGGCCAACTACGCTGTGGATGCTTATTTCCGTGAGGCGTTGCGTGTCTCTGAACCAAAGGCACCGAAGGCGCCACGCCCACCCAAACAACCAATTGTTCAAGACTTTCAATTCTTTCCGCCGCGCCTGTTCGAGCTGCTCGATCAGGAGATTTACTACTTCCGCAAAACTGTTGGCTACAAAGTACCCAAGAATCCGGAACTCGGCTCGGAGGCCACCAAAGTGCAACGCGAGGAACAGCGTAAAATTGATGAAGCTGAACCCCTCACCGAGGATGAGATTCTTGAGAAAGAAAATCTGCTGTCTCAGGGCTTCACAGCTTGGACAAAGCGAGACTTCAATCAGTTCATCAAAGCGAACGAGAAATATGGACGCGATGATATCGAAAACATTGCCAAGGACGTGGAAGGCAAAACGCCAGAAGAGGTGATCGAATATAATGCTGTATTCTGGGAGCGATGCACTGAGCTGCAGGACATTGAACGCATCATGGGACAAATCGAACGTGGCGAGGGCAAGATTCAACGACGCCTGTCCATCAAAAAGGCGCTCGATCAGAAGGTGGGCTTAGCTATATGAATGTTTTTATCCCCCTTTAAATAGTATTTTATTTCAATATTTATATTCTGTGTCCTTTTTGTAGATGTCTCGTTATCGCGCGCCTTTTCATCAGCTGCGTCTGCAGTATGGCAACAACAAGGGCAAGAATTACACAGAAATCGAAGATCGTTTCTTGGTCTGCATGCTGCACAAGCTGGGCTTTGACAAAGAAAACGTTTACGAGGAACTGCGCGCGGCTATACGGTAAGAATTCGAAAAGTATAATTTTTGACAAAGAAACCAACTAATGCAATTTGATTTACGGTTTGTAGCGCCTCGCCGCAGTTTCGCTTTGACTGGTTTATCAAATCCCGCACAGCTCTGGAGCTTCAACGACGCTGCAATACACTAATCACACTAATTGAACGCGAGAATCTCGAACTTGAGGAAAAGGAGCGCGCCGAGAAGAAGAAGAAGGCTCCCAAGACACCGGGCGGCAGCAGCACAAGCACACCTGCACCGCCGCCGCAGCAAAAGGCAAATCAGAAGCGCAAAAGCGAGGTGGTCGCCACCAGCTCCAATGCTAAGAAGAAGAAGAAGTAAAGAGCCAGCCGCCATGACGTCGCAACCGAAGAGACAGTTTATAATATAGCTATACACATAATACATGATACTGATAACAATAACAATACACACATCCGATTTATATGAGATTCAGCTCCACACAACATTATTTTAAAGACCATCCACAAAAACATTTTAAGCTTGAGTTTGTAGTTTCTTAATTCAAACAACAAAAGGAACATTTTATTACCTACTTAAAGATTAACGAATAAGTAATTAATAATTATGTACGTGCGCCGTTGTATTCTATTCCACTTAATTGTATTTCGTTATAAGTTCAATTATTTATACTTTTAAATATATGCAAATTATTGTCATGGAGCAAAATTAAACAAACTTATACATCCACACATGCATTTTGTGTTGAGCTGGAGTTTTCTAATCCACTGAAAACATTCGTGGATAATGGGTGGAATCGTGAACTTATTCAAGATAAGGAGATTTATCTGTTAGAAGGAATATTAATAATGAATTTTACAAATTTGGAAAACAGGAATAACTGGATAGCCTGGCCAAGATTCTTAAACTTGGCCATTTATCTACACATCTACATATGCTTCTATTTACATATATCTTGCGAATGTAAACATTTTCTCTTATCATATTCAACAAAGCGTTTGATTTCTTATCAAAATGTTTTTATGAAAATTGGGGTCATAAACATAATTATAAAACTTAATTGGTTTTATAAAAGCTCTGCAGTAAACAATTAATTAATCATAATTTATATCATATATGAAGCCGCTTTTCCACACGAAGGTTTCCATTGATTTATACGATTCCCTAGTGTTATTCAGTGCTTCAAAACTTCAATATAACGAAATCCTTATCGAAACAAAATAAATTGTTTTTGCTCTGTAATTTAGTGAATATAACTATACCCTTGACTCTAAATGTTGTTAAGCAGAACCTATTTAGATTCTCGAGAATAGAAATAAATTGGTCTGCCCGTTAAGAACCACACCCACAAACATCCACATAAAATTTATACATTTCAACAATTTCATTTTATTTAACGCGTATAAAAGAAGACTTTTAAACTTATTGAATACGATTATAAATTCTATGGATTGGGCATTACTTAAGATACAAATATACATACACATGTAGGTATATCTGTTTATATGTGTATAAGGATGCATAACAGTTAGATACAGGTACTTACTAGGCACACATAAGACAAACATATATGTGCGAAATCTGTGTTAGGGCTTAACAATTAATATCAACTTTACAATGCAGTCCAGCAGTCCGGCAGCTGCTTAGCCATGTTCAACATGGCCATTGGGGGTTGGGTCTACGTGTCTCTTGTTGTGTGTGTGTGTGTGTCTGTGTGTGTGTGTGTGTGTGTGTGTGTGTGTGTGTGTGACTGCTGCTCTTAGTCATATACACTCGCCCGTCACTGGATGCACCTGCATCTCTTTAATACTACTCAGGTGCTGTGACAGCACATGCCACTACTCCTGCTTGGGATTGATTATCTCATCGATGGAGGCTGCTGCGCCGGCGACAAGCGCCAGGATCGAGAAAACTCCCAACAATATGTTCTTGATAAGCTTCCATTTGCACCAGCCCAGACGATCGGGCCACAGGTACACGGTCTCCACGAAGCTGGGCACAAAGATGCCCAGCAGCGAAAAGAAGACGGCGCCCACGAGACTGATGAATGGCTCCAGATTGGGAATGCCTGCTGCAATGCCTCCGCTGACCAGGATGATGCCAGTGCGCAGCAGAATTTGCGTTATGTTGTGCTTCTCCGGTCGGAACTTGTGCTGGATCTTGCGCCAGAGAACTTCATTGGGCCTGCAATAGGAGGGAGAGTAAGGAAAAGGATGTCTGGAGTGGAGAAATGCTTTACTTACACGTAGAACTGCAGGCCATAGGTGAAGAGTATAGCCACGGCCATGAGCAGCTTGGCCGTGTCACCCAGCCAGCTGCCATCGGGCAGATTCAGCGTGATGCTGCCTCGCACTTCGTCTCCAAATCTGACCTGTAAAGTGAGCAAAGAAGCATGAGTAAAACGCTTGCAACTCGATGAGCTGACCTCCACTCACATAGCCGAAGAAGCCAATGATGGCGTAGAGCACCACGACCGTAATCATGGCCGTGTTGAGCACGCCGGGACAGCCAAGGAACTGCTGTGGCTTTCTCATCGAGTTCTCCACGGGCATCACGACGCCGATGCCTTCCATGGCAAAGATGACAGTGGCAAAGAAGAGGGGAATATGGGCAGCTGGCGCAATCAGCGGCTTATCACTCAAGTCGAGCTCCTGGTCGAACATGTAGTACAGTGTAATGACAAAGGTGACAACAATGAACACGTTCGCCATCAGGGAGAAGGGCACCAGCCACTTCAGGTTTCGGATCTGGCCAATCAGCAGGCAGGGTATCACCGTCATGGCTATGTAGATGCGCACGTCCCAGTTGAGGCCCACATCATAGTTGATGACGTCATGAAACGAGGTCGCTATGAAGACCATGTAGACACAGGCGGCGGCATAATAGGTAGCCATCAGGCCAATATCCACAAATTGCCTGCAAAGATCATTTATCAGTTATCTTTAACGGAAATACTTATCCCAAGTCCCAGTTATTTATCAATACAAAAAAAAAAAAAAAACACTCATTAATTATACGAATTATCAGGAATCGATAAAAGTTTGCGGGGAATATTTTTGATTCAAAATGTGGTCACGATGCGTGAAAGTAATTGATGGAAGTGTTGTTGAACTCTACAGATTATATATCAATTATATAGAATATATGCAAAATTCCCCAATTTCCATTTCAATAAGAAAATTATAATAATTATTTATGTATATACCTAAATTTCCTACAGATATTGTTAAGAGTATTTCAACTGATTTTCAGTTATCTTATCTATATACTTATAATAGGATTTTGATGCGAATATAAGCTTAACGAAGTAAAGCATTATTTGCCAAAATTTACTAATTAATTTATCAATTAATATTTAATTAAACTGATAAAAAATAGGAAAGAAAAATAATGATGTCCAATATCGACACTTACTTGGCGAAATTGGAATAGGGTCTTAGAGCTTTAGGTCCATATTCGAACACCTTTTCAGCAGTCTCTGCAAAGCCCAGAGCTGGAACCTTGGCATCGCGACAAATCTTGTGAGAAGTTGCTACCTAGAAAGGTTGAGATAAAATAGATAAAGATAAATTATGAAAATCGAATACGCATCGAATTGCTCCATAATTAGTTGGGAAATTAAATTAAAATTGAATAAAATAATAATTATTATTAAATAAATAATATTGCCTATGAAATATTATTTATATAAATTTGTAGACATAAAATATTTGTTTACATGTTTAGTATTTATGAGCTATTCAGTATTTCAACAAAAATTCCTAATTATATTTACTTATAATATTACATCGAACAATTTCTAATTTTTTTCAAAGTTCTTCAATTTTATACCTAAGCTAGGGCTGTAAATTACTCTTTTGTTGACCCTATTTTCATAGTGTTAACTAATGACGACTCCATAAACAAGCCATCAGTTTGTATTAGCCATGGTAACCGATTATCGCCGGCTGATAGCACTTGTTGGGCAATCGACAACTGTCTGGCATTGTCCAGCAACTACATACGTAATACTCAAGCCTACACTAGGAAGGTATACGCTCAGCACTAGATAAGACCTGTATGTTTATTTAGAACCCACGCGTTACTTGCGTTTTTTTCGTTAATTCTAATTAAATCTCAAGCCATAAATCTGCAACTCGAGTGGCTCAAGATATGTGGAAGTGTGAATTGCCTGGAGATTTGTGAGTTGATTGTCGGAAAGTCCAACTAGAAGAAATTATTTATAGCGTGCTTCATTATTGGGCGTGTGTCATTTATAGCACTTGTAATTTCTAGGAATTGGAGCACATATATTATAGGCACTGATCTGCTATAGTAACTGATCATTATAAACGTCAGGCTGTCTGCCGCTGATAGTGAAGGCGACTCGCACGCGTTTTTATCGAGGTCTTTGCCAATTGTTTGCACATGCGCTCGGGCTTGAACGGCCCTTGAACTAGTTGCTCTTTCCGCAAAGCAAAGTGCAAGAAAATCCCCGGCATTTAGCAAATGCGTCAATTGCGAAAATAGGTGCTAAAAAGCTTTCAGCCGGATACGCAAATTTCTTTATCGATTGCCTGATTGGAAGGCGTTGGCAAGCCAGTTTGCTTATCATCTAGCATGGGCTTTACTTTATATACCATTTAATAACATTAAATTTGACTTAACAAGAAAGTTGAATTGAGTTGCATTGACTTGGAGCTGATTATTTATTAATTCCTGAATAAATATTATTGGTAAACTACTTTCCCACGAGCTCGTCCTATTTTCTTTTATTTGATCAGGTACTTCAGGTAAGCCGATTGGTAGATTATTTAATTTAATAATATTTCTTTCCGTCAGCTTTTTTTTTACATTTTTTGATCAATTTTTTGTTTGTAAGATTTTACTGATTAATTTGGGGATTAATTTATTTCTACTATTACTATATATATTATTACTACTTTTCTACCAGAATTAACTTTTTATCTAAAATTTTGTATACATTTTATTTTTTTAATAATTCAATAGATGCCTTTTTAATCTTGATATTTCCTACTATACAGAAAAATATCCTTTATCTAAGTTAGGTTCATATTAGTATTTATGAAAAATCTATTCTACTATTTATCCTACCCTTAATATCGATCGAGTTTCTTCAAGTTTTGCATTTTAAAATTGTTCACTTTTTATTGTTTTTAAGGGCGTTTCATAAACATTTTGAAAACAGAGAAGTTAATTTAGATCTTCTTTAACTGCTACATATTTTATTTAACTTTAATTTCAATTCACTTTCAGAATTAATTTCTGTTTGCATTCGAGAGCATTTACTTACCAGAATATGCACACAGTGCGTGCAGAGAAAGCCGACGACGAGAGTCATGATGCCGCCAAAGAGCAAACCGGAATTGTGAAAAGCCATGGGCATGGCCAGGATGCCAGTACCCAGGGAACTCTTGAGGAGATGGGCCAACGCGCCGCCAGAGCTGGCGCCATTTGGATCGCGATGATCGAACGGATGGTAGTCGCCCTCCTCCAGTTGATCCTTTTCCGTCAAGTTGGCTCTGTAATGAGCGAGAGATTCCGAGTATGAGAGGATGCAAATCCACCAAAAAGAGGCTACCACTTACTTGGAGTTGAAGTCCTTCAGACTGTCGACTGTGCTGCTGTAGGCGGGCGGCAAGGCTTCTTGCTTTGAGCTCGCATTCGAAGGCCGCGCCGAATTCGGTTCAGCGGCGGCCGTATCCGGCGTAAATGCCTTATTGTCCGTCATCTGTGGACGATCAAAATGTTTGCTTTTAGGTTCAATGTCGGTTTGGTTCAGTGTAGGGTAGGGCTAATCCACTTGAGAGACTTCCTAGGCGCATGCCGATCGATATCTTATCGTTGACAATTTCAAGTACTTTATATCGCAACACAGGTCGGACATCTATAAAACTATGCGAATCGCAAATACGATCGTTATCTGAATTTCTCGGACCGTCCAAATATAGACGGCAGTGAACTGAATTCATAAATTTTATTCAGTGTTTTCCGTCAGGGCTATAATTCCGGGCTCATAATTCCGATATAGAGCCCATAAAAGCCCATTCCAAATTCCCCTCAAAACTCTCGGCCATAATGCATAATGATAACTTTCATGGTCACCTGACCAAACACGCATACTCCCCTTTTCTCTCTTTCTCTCTCTCTATCTCTATCATTCTCCCACTCCTTTTACAAGTGTTTATACTCGCAAAATAGTCAAATTAGATTAGGTTCTAATCACTTGTTAATGTTATTTATGGCTTTTCTCAAGAGCTGGATGAGTGTGCTCGTTGCCAACTGGCTTTGGTGCTAGTCACACTCTTAGCATATACTTTTATTGGTCGATTAGATTAAAGGAGCCCGTGGTATAGGACTCCTTTGAAAAAATTGTAATATTAATTGAGCATTCCGTTTAATAAATTATTATTCACTAATAGGGAGCCATTTTATAAAAATAAACTGGAAAAGGATAGACTTGAGTATTTATGTATGTATAGTATGCATTCTATATATATAAACATATATTCTTTATGGATTTAAATCATGTGCACAGAAAAATTAAAAATTTGTATATATAAGCAATTATTTTTTCATAAGTCCAACTATATTAATTTTATTTAAAAAAAAATTATTTTAATTTTCATAAAATAAAATTAGGATCAACAAAAATCCGAAGAGTAACAAGCTGCAGGCTGCATAACTAAATTTGGTTTGTTTTAAGAGTTATAATTCTCTTGTTAAAGCCGTGAAGAAGGCATTTAAAAGGATTGATAGGAGAGGAAACGAATCGGAATTGCAATATACCTGATGTCACTGATCACTAGTTCAGATCTTGTTTATATTTAACAGATGTCAGTTTTTATTTAGATATAGATTGAATAAAATATGAAGTATAAATTTCATATTATTATAAAATTCCTTTAGATTTTAAATAAATTTTCTAGATAAAACATTACTTCAATTTATTTGAAAACTGATAAAATCCGAAATTAATATGACAGTTACTGCTTCGATTTATTTGAATAATTAAATGAAAAACTGTTTGTTAAAGATTCAAAACAATTACCGCAGAAAAGTTGTTTCTAAACAACAAACCGTATAATCGTTTTCATTCATATTTTCAAATGAATAATTCATTCATAATATGGAAATTTTTGAGATAAGTTTTCACGAGCCTAATTGCCCTCATTCAACTCAATGGAGTCCCTCCATTTCCTGTTTGTCAAGAGGCAGTTAAAAGGTTAATTGATTAAACTTACGTTTCTTTTCCTTAACAATAATTATTCTTATTCTCTATATGGAATCGAATCGAGAACTAGCTAGGGCTTAGAACCGAACGCGCCCTCGGCCCAAATGCAACTGAATGCTCGGGCCGGCTACAACGTTGAAAATGGCTGCCAAGGAAGGTGTCCGAAAGATAACACCTCGATATGGCTGAACCGGCGAGCAGCGGCAGTTGATACAGTAACACGGCGAAATGCTCGTCATAAATACTCAAAGCTACTTTTAAAATCAATTATAAAGCTGTACCCAATAACCGATAAGGCTGATAAGCAATTGTTATTGCTGTTAACGTCGCCTGCCTAGATTTAAAGCAGTCCAAAGAGGACTCTGCTATACTCGTATGCTATCTATCTGAGACTTTGCAACTTTGCAATTTGTATGCTAGTTGCGGCTTACCTGGAAAAAGCGAAAGTTAATTTTGTAATAACATAATTGACATTAAATGTTGTGGACGTATCAAGAAAAAGATACGCTTAAGAAATTGTACGAGCATTATTTATCAAAAACATTATTGATAAGATTAGTCAAGCAATTAGGAACAATATATATAATGCATTATAGAATTTATATATATATATATATATCTGTATCTTTATCTGCGACATTGACATGTTTTACAGTTACGACAGATGCAATAGCCCATATAGTTAGTGAGTTTAGTTATATCTACATAGTTATGAAAGGGTTCATGGGAAATTGATTGAATAAAAGTTTACGAGCTTCGATTAGAAATGTTGAGCCCGTATTTTATATGAGCACTGGCCGATTGTAATTATTATTATTTATATTGCTGGCACTAGAACTGCTTTGGTTTTTTACTATGTCACGCGGACGATCGATAGGATCGTGAATCATAGCGGACATTTGATTAGCTCTCGATGTCATATCACTGTCCGCGAATTTAGACGAATTATTTATGTTTATTGGCGCCCGATTGCCGTTGGCATTATAATCGACGCTCGACTGCCACCTCCCAGCCATGATTTAATTAATAATCATAATAATTGAGCAACAACTGCGTCACTCAATTGTTTATGATTATGCTAAACTGGCAATGACATCAGCTGTCGGCGTAGAGTTTAATATCTGTCCTAATCTCAAAAGTTTATTAGTTCATAATTTCTGTTACTATATTTCAGAAATTAACTTTTTAATAAATATTTGAGAAAAAAAATATATTTAATATTATAGCAGAAATGTATACCATTTAATTTAACTTAAATCATATTATTTTTATTTTCATTTATATTGTTTTAATATTTTTTTTTCATTTCATGAAATTATAATTGTGTAAGGAAGTAATTCCAATTTAGGTCAAATATGATTTTAAATTTCTTAATATGGAATCAGACTTATTTTGATTGCATTTCAAATAACATTAAAATTTCTTTAAATTACTCAGGTAACCCAAATACATGCAACTTAATAGCCAAAAATTGGAATAATTAAGAATGTGGTTTTGCAACTTAAAAGTGCAAAAAACTTTTTTTTTTTTTTTTTATGGCAAATAATAATATAAAATATTTAATGTAATGTAAGAATTTAAATCGTTTCATTTCGATAAGCTCGATTCTTCAACTTGAGATTGAAGCACTCCAAGCCCTTAGGAACTGAATACATTATACCACAATGTCTAAAAAATTAATTTGGCTTGCATTCCCATAATTTCTTTTTTCTTTTCTGTACATAATATTTAAACAATTATTTATGTATATAAAATCAACGTATGAATCAGTTTTTTATACATGTTGGTTATAGTATTGCATATCTTATTTTGTTTTCTTATTTGTACTTTTTTTTTTTAAGTTTGATTCACGTGCTGCGAGAGCTGTTGTCCGACAAGCAGAATTATCAATAACGCAATTCATCAATTCGCAATTGAGGGTTAATGCTTTTTCAATGGAGCTGCTCAGTGTCAAAAATCAAATTCGCGTCTAGGTAAGTGAGTTCGCTTTCGATATGCAAAAACGAAAAATAATGAAAAATTAAACATGCGTCGCATAATTAATGAGGTCGCTGGCGAATTCTTCATGCTGAACTTGTATATTGCAATCGCGTGCGCAAATTACAAAGCCTTGCCCAGATATTATGTAAGTTCGCTGAGAACGGCTCATAAATTAGCTCGAGCTTATGGAAGCCTATTTAAATCCTAAACGGCTGGCAGAAAAAAAAAGTAAAATAGTAGATGATCAGCTGTTAGAAATCTAAGCAAACCATAGAATATAAATTAATCTAATGAATACGATCAATTTGTAAGAGCAACGTAAAGAAAAAATATTTATATAAATACAATATATATATGTATGAATATATATAATACAAATGCCAAAGTTTTTCAGTTCACTAAATTCAACTTTTAAAGCTTTGTTAACTTAAGATTTATTGCAAATCAGTTGTAAACAATTATAAATATAATGATCTTTCTGTAGCACATCGGTTATATGTATGTGTGACCAATTGATTCTATGTAATATATTTTTACTCGATTTGTTATAGTTAAATGTTTCATTAGTTAAGTCAAATCTTGATTGCTAAAAAAGAAGCCGCAAAAATTTTGTGGATAAAGCTTATGTCCGTAAATTTCACCTTATTGCTTGAGAGCTAGTTCAACATAGTTAAGATTTTATTTATAGCTCATAAATGTCAAGGTTAGCTAATATATCATTTCATTTTCAGTCGAGCTCATAACTTAGATGATTTATATATGAATATTCGATAATAACAAAGGAGTACAAGTTATAAAACAGTTTTTGTTTTTGATTTATATAAATTGCTTAGCAGTAGAGAAAAACTAAATAAATAAGAGTTTAAAAATATTTGTATGGAATATTTATATAATGTACAAATTATGTGTTTTATACAGTTTCTCTTATATTTTCTCTCCAAAGAAGAGCAATTTAAAACTCGTTCTCTCGAGCTTTATTATTCAGCAGTTTAATTTTTGTGTATTTCTGAACTAAAATATTTATTAATAATTTGTCTGGTTAAATAGTAAACTTAGTATTCTATTAACATTTACATTTTCATTTCATTTTGTATGTGAATTTAATAGTTACCTTCTCCCAAGCGTTATTAATTGTATTATATATTCGGAAAGATATATTTTTGAGAATCTGTTATTTGTTTATTGTTTTTGGCAATTTGACTGAGTCTAACATTGACACGAATTGTTAAGCTCTTTATATTCCTTTATTTGCTTAGCTTGGCGTTAATCAACGCCCACGCAAATCGCCTGGCCGAAAGTCGCGTGAAAGTCGCGTGTGGTTTGCTTCACTGGAAGTTGAGTCTAATTAAATTTATTTATTTTGTTCTACACAATGCCAATCGTTAAAAAAGGCTATGTAGCATACGCGTAAATAACGGATTCCTTTTAAGTAGTCACTAAATCCGTTTTTAAAGTCGCGCGCGTTTTTGTAACTTCCGAGCTGCGACTGCGTGCGCTTTGTTGTTAACGGGCTGGCGATCAGTTAGTGACTGATATTAAGCCAATGATTGTGCCTGAATTTGTTGCTGCTGCTGCCGGCTACAAAGTACACACAACACAACACAGCGCAACGCACACAGCTACACCTGTTGGATGAACTATTTATGGGTGAGAGGGGGCAGCCAGCAATTAGCGCAGCGGACAATAAACGAAACTGTGACGCCGTCCTCTCTCTCACTCAGTGCGTGTGTGTCTGTGTGAGTGTGTGCATGCTTTCTATACCAATTGGATCGTTTTGGACATTGTATAGCAAGACAAGTTGAGCATTGCGTTGCATCGCTCATACGCAGCGTTTGTCCGCTCGCACAGGGTGGCACATGAATCAAAAAGTTCATCCACGGCCAACAGCAGCTGCAGCTGAAAATGAGCAGCTTTTTCGCTTTTGCCTGCACTTATATTAGACCTGTCAACAAAATCTTGCCACAAATTAAAATGCAAAACTAGTTAAGAAACCAGACCTTTTAAACTGTTCTTGAAGTTTAAGAACTTTTATTTATTTATGACATTTATTTATTCACGAAAACTTGAAAACATATGCGCATATCTAGGTCAGTGTAACATATATACTATGTTCATATTTGTATCAGATGACTTTATAGATAACACATACATACATATCTAAATTGATTGTGACTCATGAAATACTCTGGCTTTATCTACGCTACATCATCATCATCATATATATATCATATTATCATCAGATTATGAATTATGCATTTAATGTTTAACTCTATGTATACCAAATGCTTGTATATGATACGCCATCTATGGTTCATGGCTCTACAAATAAAGATATCAGTTATATCCGATTGCAATTTGTCATTTGACGAATGTGTGACTGCAACCTATAGAAAAAACTCCAAAGCTAATTGGCAAGTTAATTCCTAAACATATTTAAATCCTAGTAATATTTGAATAGTATGGAAAAACGGGAAATTTGTTTAGTTAATTAATGTTCATTTTCATTTCTTTTCTGATCTTAATATTTTGTTATTAATTTTAATAATGTAAATTGATTTATGTAAATAATATAGCTTTAAGTTTTAGTCGAAGTCGAATAACTTCACTCAACTGTCAACTGACACTCTTCAAACAAACTCAAATATTTAACTCAACCAAGACTCGAAGCACCCTGTATATTGCAAGAGACACAGTGTCTGCCAGCAGCAATTAATTTTGCTTGCCGTTTGGCGAGAAGAGATGTGCAGAGAGGCTTGGCGGAGACCTGGCCGAAGTGGAGTGCAATGAACATTGCCAAGCTAAGAATTTGAGAGGCGCCTTAAAGAGCGCTTTGCACGGCCCAGGCGATAGCTAAAAGTACTTCAGCAATAAGGCAATTACTTAGAGGCTGTTGCAGTTGTTGGTGTTTGTTGTTGTTGTTGCTGTTGTCGCCTTGAGGCGTCTCTTTAAGTCCGATCATGGAGTTTAGTGATTAACTTGTTTCAAGTGGATGTTGTTGTTGTTTGTTTGCTGTCGTTTGCTTGTGCTTTTGTGTGTTGCGTTGCTCTTGCACTCGATTTTGTTGTCTGGCCATAAAATTGCTGTCGCTTGTTCCATTCAGTGGGCCAGTGGAAAATTTTTGAATCACAATTTT